AACCGAAGATTCTTCTTATATTTATAGTTGAATCCCCCCACGATATTTTAAGTGGAGGAGGAAGGTATTGTTCTCCGTTCCTTCACCGCAACTCTACCCTGGTAACAGTTGTCACTGCCACCGAGGTACCGCTTCGTCGCGAGTTGTAATTTGATAAACGATCGATAAGGAATGTTCCGAGTGATTTCTCAGGAGTTTCTTTTAAAAATTTAATTTGAATAATTTAGTTAAAATTATACGTCTGTAACAAACGCAAACCACGAATGCCGGTCTTGTATTAATGGAAATGAAAAAAACATTCACATCTTTTGCACTTACCCACGTGAATCCAATGCACGAAATTGCTCCACTTAACATATCGGCTAGAATCGCGGGATATGATTGAAGATAGGGAAAGTATGCATGGAATTTTGGACTCTGCCAATGAGTAACCTAAACATTTTTATCTTAATTTATTTCATGCTTACAGTCGGAAATACCGATGATAAAATACATTAATTTTTAATTATAGTGTTACTGTTTCTCGATGCGTGAATCAGTCATTATTGTATACTCTCGTTAGATCAGTGATGTACGATCGATTGTGGTAGTTAAAAATTACTTACGCCTGGCATTATTACTCTTTCGATATCGGCCATTATATCTTTCCATTGTTCAGGGGTTTGGGGTGCTTCAGATGGCAAGAGTGGTCTCATGTATCCTGGCTCCACCGTAGGCAAGACTCTTCTGGGAATTTGGGATATTTTTATAAACGAGATATATTTAAGAGTAAATACTTATTGTCGATCTAACTGGCAATGTATTTGTAAAAATTTTTTTTATAAAATTTTACATAAGGTGCGACGTTTCGACCCACGTATCGGGTCCTTATCAAGCGAATGAGCTGCAAATCAACATGTCGCTGTTAGATTATGGATAAATTCAATACATTACATTATATAAGATTAGGTTATAAATATAGTGAATTAAATGAACACCACAAGGTAAACCTACATTTATAGCGTGTTTGATCTCGTAACTTCACTATATTTATAACCTAATCTTATATAATGTAATGTATTGAATTTATCCATAATCTAACAGCGACATGTTGATTTGCAGCTCATTCGCTTGATAAAGACCCGATACGTGGGTCGAAACGTCGCACCTTATGTAAAATTTTATAAAAAAAATTTTTACAAATACATTGCCAGTTAGATCGACAATAAGTTTACTCTCAATTTTTCATCACTGGTGACTTAAAGCATATCTCTCTATTATTTGAGATATATTTATATAAAAAGTACAAGATATAATTTAATAGATTATTACTGAATGTAAATTCACCGTTAAACGATTTTTTCGATTATGGCATGTTATCTACCTGTCTCTAATATTTTCCAAGTAGTTTGCGATATATTCCGCCATCTCTTTTGCGCAGTCCTTGAAGCTCTCTGGATCCATCTTTTACAAATATATAAAATATATGATTTGTCAGAGCGGATGAACTAATATAAGAGACTGAAAATAAATCAAAACCAATCAGCTACTTTAATAAATGATCCAGTCACTTATAAAAGGTAGAAAATAACGGACGCAAAGTTAAAATATGTCTGCAGTATACAAGTGCCGGAGAATAACTATCGAAACTGTAACAAAATAAAAGTGTTTAGGTCAAAACAACGAAAAAGGATAGGAAAATGTATAACCGACGATTAAATCAATAATTTATTAATAGTTATAGTTACTAATTTGTACTCTCTTAGGAATTGATTTGTGTACGTATAAATTTACCTTGTGTAGTATTACCAGAGGATGAATCTATACCCGTGTCTTAAGCGACAATCTTGATAATTGTTGCAAGTTTTTGTGTTTTTTAGGTAAAAAAACTAATGCGAGAGACTATTTAAGCTTGTAGCACCTGTTTATTTCCACTGACTTATCCAGATTAATGAGTACGACAAAACTCATATCGGTTCAATAATCACTTTATTGATTGCTGAACACAATTCATGCTATTGCCAAGACAGCGCGCAGTACAATATTACCGTCAAAAACGTATGATACACACTATCGCCAGTCGAGGATTTACGATAATGCTCGAACGTGCGAGGATGAGTCGGAACTCTAATTACTACATTTTCAAATTTAAGAAAACAAGGAAGCATAGCTCATTGTCATGTCACTCAAATAAAGATAAACTATACACTACCGCCCAGGTCAGTTCTACAAAATACGTCACATATCGTAATTGAATGTCGAGCGTACGTGCACTGAGCCTACCGTTAGAAATTGTCGCAAGCTGATTGTCGTTGTTGAAACGAGAGGTGGTCATGGCTCATCTCATCCGATTTACGACTACGACTGATGACGTCAGAGCGATTTATCGTGACTTCCTTTTTGTAATCTTAGTTTCAAAAAATCGTTTAAATAGTTAAACTGTTGTACCATCATTCTTGTAGACTTTAAAAATTCTTCATGCTCACGCTTTGGAAAATATTCAAACAATTTTGTTTGTGCACCTAAATTATGGCCGATATTCGTAGTAATGTAAGGCTTAACCCACCATCTTCTTGTTTTACGCTTTTTTAACAGTAATTTTAACTTTACAATTTCGTTAATATTTCTATGACTCTTACTAGTATTGACAATAAATTTACATAAATGGCATAATTTTCATCGTCCATCACATCCGTGGCTTTTAACCGTATATCGTTAGTGCGACTTTCGACGTAGCAGCTCTGTCGTAGAATTACAAGTCATATTCACGTTCGACACATATTATGTGATTAACGACCAGCGATATTCGTTTCCGACCTACGACGTATTGTATAATAGGTCTGAAAGAGCTTCAGTTTCCACCAATAACAAATGCATGTATAATAATAGACAGAATGATTGCGACACTTTTTTAAATAAAATCATAGCAATTATCAAGTACGGTGACGTGATAACGGTTGGAGAATTGAAATACATTTTGAACGTGATTTTTCTGTTTAACTAATTTAATATTATAATATCTAGTATGAACGTGTGGTTAATTTTTAACGATGAGGTATATACAATTAATTGAGGATTAATTTGAATATTAACTTGAGAAAAATATTTATTGATACATTAGCTCTGTTACGGTTTAAAAATCTATTAGGTAAATAATATCTATCTTTATATTTTTAACATTTATTCAAATATATTGTTAATGTATATTTGTTTTGCTTCTATTATTAAAATGTTACTATTTATAAAAGATAATTTTAAAAACTATACTTTATTAACCCGTATAAAGATATTTAATTCTATTACCTCTTTTATTTATTTGAAATATTTTATATTTCCCTCAATTATTAAATACCTTCTATTATTTATTTTTGACGTAGTTCTATCTGACATATTTTCTCGCATAGACGATATTTTCCTACATCGATAATTTAGAAATGTTTAGTCGACAGAAGATAATATTATACAGGGTGAGTCTTTCCATATCCGACAAAATTTTTGAGAAGGTAGAACGGATCGAGATGAACGGAAAAGTCCTGTATCATTTTGCAATTTTCGTAATAGTTAACGAGTAATTAATTATTAAAAATCGTTATCTTAGGCTGGCCTACCGCCCAATTCGAGCGCGTGGCGAGATGTGCGCATAGCAATATCGATCGCCGGGCGGTCACATCTTGCCACGCGCTCGAATTGGGCGGTAGGCCGGCCTAAGACAACGATTTTTAATAATTAATTACTCGTTAACTATTAAGAAAATTGCAAAATGGTACAGGACTTTTTCGTTCATCT